CTCTTCTGAGATATCTACAGCCCAAGGGGGGAAGAATGTGATCTTTAAAGCAAATTGCAGTGATTAGAGCAGCCCAGAGCTAGAGTGTGCTTCTGGGTGTGAACAGGCACCACTTGAAGGCTGATTGTACAAAGGGAATCATCAGCCCAGAAGAGCAGCCCAGCTGGCAGGAAAGCAAGGTGCACAGCAGCTTTGAGGCAGAGACGAAAGAGCTCTACCTACGCCTGTGCTGGTCAGTGGCCTTTCTTCAATTACTTCTATATGAGGTTCTACTCCTCTTCCACAGCAAGGAGGGCAGCCTGCGGCTTCAAGCAGGTGGGCCGGCCCAGAGCCAGACAGATGACCCTAGAACCGCATCTGCACCAGAAAGAGAGACAGAGGCCCCTCTACAACAGGCAGGTCCTTCACGGACATGTGGGTCCATCTTCAAAAAAAAACATGGAACTCTGAAGATGCACAGGCTGTCAGTCAAATCCATTTCTACTAATTTATTGTTTAACAGGGGCTTGGAGGTGGGGCACTCAGGATTCTCTGCTGTGAAACAAACTAGCAGCATCTACCTCAAAGTTCTCAGGTGAGGTGCTACAGAAGCACACAGCGCAGTCCTTGGCATGGAAATGTGCTCAAGAAATTTCATCACTCTCACCATCACTGCTGTCACCATGCTCACAGGTGAGGAGCTGATGTTGGGGCCCTGAGAGAATCCAGAGAAGCACCACTCCACCACCCATTCTCCACAGTGAGCTGCTTTTTTTTTCCAGCAAGGCAGGTATACCCAGAATATCATAGCCCTCCGTGCACAAACTTCCCAATCCATGTTCTTCAACATTTGCTCAAAGCCTGTCAGCCCATCACTTATCAGAGCCTGAAAAATCATGGTGTGGCCATGATGTGAGCTATGAAGAAAGACCTGGCTCACAGGACCCATTGGCTCTATCAGCAGTGCTGGGAGCAGCACATGGTTGTGTAGTGAGGAACCCAGAATACTCACAAGGGCTCAGCAAAGGCCAAGGAGGCTACAAGTAGTAGTGACCTGGGCATGCTGTGTGGGACACACCCAGATCTGCCCACACAAATCCTGAGTACTCCCCGGGCATCAGGAGGTATAAGAGCAGCCTTCAAGAACCACAGCAAAGCAAGGGCCACAAGGAGAGAAAGGCAAGGCTCCCTGCGCTGTGATAAACTCCTGTCCAAAGCACCACAGACCCATTCATATTATGATCAATGGCACCTCCTGAGCTGTCCAATGATGGCCATGAAAGGCAAAGCCTGACCAAAAGGCCACCCGTTTAACAGAAAGACACGCCAACACTCAGCTCTTCCTAGAGGACGGCCTACTGACGCCCTACCAGCAGCCAACCAGAATGCTGCCCCAACCAGGGGCTCCAGTCACCCGGAGGATGCGTCCTATCTTACCTTCTTGTCCTCCGGGTTCCCAGGTACCTTGTTACCACCTCACTCCGAGCTCAAAACAGTGCTACCTAGAGAAGCTAGCCCTGTTCTGACATAAGGAAATTAAAGCTCAGAACTTAAGTAAATACATGTAGCACTAACAGCAAAACTCATCACTACCCATTGAAAGTGCCCTTTCCTGCAAGCTGGAGGGCCAACAAGTCCCAGCCCCAGTATGAGGATGAGCCCCCCACCAGGCTTCCAGTCTCATCTGAAGGCAAAAACATTAAACAACGTAAAAGTCTTAGGAATACTTAGTCAAGTTTGGAGCCATGACTCACCAGCAGTAACAAGGGGTCAAAAGCCTTAATTCACGGTACTGAAGGGCTATTTTCCACTCCAGGCTGGTTGGTAGCCTGGCATGTGGCTCAGAGGTACAATGTCATCTTACCCTCCCCCAAGAGGCAGGTGATGGCTTTTCCACTCAGCACCTCTGTGCATGGAACACTGTTCCTTCACTTGTTTCACATAGTTTGGTCCAGCCCTTCCCTAGCTTCACTCACTTGCTCAGTAAAGGGAACAGGAGAGAGTCAGAGTCTCCCCTGAACTATACGAAATGCTCTGACCATGATTACGAAGACGGGCTGGTGCAAACCTAAGCCAAGGCGGCAGCAGGAAGCATTCAGCAGAGGCAACAGCTACCTGGAAAAAATGCTTGGGAGAGAAAACCCACAAGCATCTCTGACCAGCTTCAGCTTTATGGGTTCCAAATGAACACTTGCTTACTTTCTGTTCCTTAAGGAGGAATGGAGTACCTAGTGAACCCCTCCAGCCTAACTCCTGTGTAACCCCTGAACACCTCGTTCTCATCATCTTGCCAAATTGTCTCCTTCCCAGTTAACCTGAATTTCTGTTCAACAGTCAGCTGCCCCCCCTTACCAGGTTCCTTCTACATGGACAACATGAGGGCAACATGGTTGTGCTAAGAATGCAGTGTCCAGTCCCCTACATGTCCAGCCAGCATGACCACGCCACACGTGCCCCATCTTGGCCTAGTCAGTGTGGGTCAGAGCACGAGGCATCTTGGCTCCTCCAGCCCCCCATGGGGACTGCACTGGGCATGACACCTGGACATGGTGTGCATAACACATGGTCACGCCAGCAGGATCCTGCCCGTGGGCAGTATGTACTGTGACAGGCATGGAGTCCTCCTAGGTCTTACCACTCCATCTCACCCCTGAGCCCTCGGAAGATGAAGAGGAGGTGAAGAGCAGAGGAGGTGAAGAGCAGAGCTCCTTGGTGGGATGCCTGCCCAGCTCACCCTTGCTCCCCGGGACGACCGCTCTCAGATGAAAGCCAGGAGTCACAACGACCCCCACCCTCCACAGAGAATTGCTCTCTGAGGCAGAGGGTCCATTCCTAAACCAGTCCCAAACAAGAGACAGATGGCTGAATCCACATCCAAGTCCAGCAGCGATGGGACTGTCCAGGACACCTGCAGGTGAGAAGCGGCCCTTCTCATGGTTCTGTGGATGCAGAGGCAAATCTTTCTCTACTGGTCAAAGCAGATAATTCTACAAAGTACCTCACAGTTTGGCGGGAGAAAAATGCTGACAAGTTTTCCTTTTCCCTAATAGTTCATTCTGTTTCAAATTCAAAGTAAAATGAAGAGGATTGCCTAGAAAAATGTTAAAGCTTTAATTTCAGACCACTTTTAATACCCGTTTCATCTGATAGTAGCTTTGAAAGCAAAAGGCAATCTTTATCATTCGAGGTTTTAAACTAAATTGATGTGATTATGTCCAAAGTACCAGATGCTTCTAAAAGCCAATTTCAAAGTGACATCAGCCCCCAAAATAAGAAAATCTTCCTTCTGGCTACAAATAAATTATTAAAATGCTTTCTGCACATGGGGATGGAGCTGTGGCAGGGAACCAATGGCAGGCAGGCTGGTTCCTCACAAACCAGTCTGTCAGGACTGCAGGTTGCCCAGGGGTTCCTGATGTGGCCATCTGCCTTACAGCCTGTCCCTGGTACCCCTTCCTTCCTCACTGGAGGAGCCTGAACTCCTCAGCTACACACCACTGCTCAAGTGACTGAAGTAGAACTAGTTTAATCTCATCACAACAATTCCATCCCCTGAGGGTAACTGGTCTGGGGCAAGCCAAGAAGCGTGAGGGACTCTGCTGACAGTGGGGCCCTAGGAGAGGTTTCCTTGTTCTAGAAAAGAGACCCAAGAAACAGCATTTGATCTGCCCCTGGATGTGACACCTAGAACCAAATAGTCATGCTCTCGTGAAACACCAATCTGAGTTCAGAGCAGGTTTAATAAGCACACAGCTCCTTAAACCCTTGGATTCTTGGTTATTCATAACAAGGCTCTGTCAACTACACCAGAGCTTATGCTGATGAGGTGACTCTGAAAGGGGGCAGGCAGTGACCTAGACAGCTCCAAGATAATGCTGACCCCAGAGGAAGCTGTCATAGGACTGAGGACTGGAACTTTCAGCGCCATCCCCAGCCTCCAGAGAGGGGAAAGGGGCTGGAGGTTGAGTCATTCACCAACAGTCAATGATCTAATCGAGCATAACTATGTAATACAAACGCCATTTTTAAAAAAAAAACCCAAAGGCATTTGGAGAAGTTCCAGGCTGGTAAGCACATGTGAGTGCTGGGAAGGTGGTATACCCAGAGAGAGCATGGGACTTCTACTACCCCCATATTTTGCATGCTTCTATACCCCCATATTTTGCATGCTGTAGCACTTCCATCTGGCTGCTCCTGAGCTGTACCCTCGTAATAAACGGTAAGAGAATATAAGCACTTTCCTCAGCTCTGTGAGTTGTTCTAGTTAATCATCCAATCTAAGTGGTGGTGGGGTCAGATCAAGGCAGTTGACCTGACCAGGCAGTTGACAGCCCTGATGCGGCAGTGTCTTGTGGAGTCTGCAAGGCAGTTGGTGTTGGGACTTAAGTAGATTCTAGAACAACAGTGGTGGCAGAGAGCTGAAGAACTGGTGTTGGAAAAAACACCATGTATTTGGTGTCAGGAGGAAAAGCACTAACACCAAGCCTAAATGAGGTCACGGCTGCCTGCTTCTGGACTTCCTGCTAGGCAAGGAAACAAATTTTTCACTGCTAAAGCCAGGGGTGAGATTTTTCTGTTATTTGCAGCCAAAGGTGTCCTGCCTATTCTGTTACTCTCTGTGGACATTCCTTGCAAGCACAAATCCACACATACACACACACACACACACACAGAGGTTTTTAACTTAGGGTGCAATTTCTACACCATCAAGTGCCATACAGTAGAGCCACTATAAAGATATAAATGACCCTGACCAAGCACACAGCCTTTCTTAGAGCTGCCCACCCTGCAGGGATCCCACAGTGATCTCTGTCTTTGGGATGACAGCATCCTGCTGCCTTGACGAGTCTCAATGCAACAGGACAGACATGTGGGGCAACTTGTACCCTCCAGCCCCTTCCTTTCTGCCAAGGCAGATTAAAGAGGAAGCACAGCAGTTCCTGAGCAGGGGGTACACACAAACTGGGCCCGAGCTTTCCCAAGCAAGAGGCATCCCCATGATGTCTGGGTACCAGGCCTACCTGCTGGTGATGGAGCTGTTCCTGTCCTTCAGGGCAAGCTCTCTCTGCTGCAGCTCGACAACAAACCTGGACAGGTCTTCCGGCGTCCTGCGGGATCAAGAATACACACTCAGCACCGCTGTTCTCTATAGTAGTTCTACTCACGAAATGGAGGCCAAAACCCTGCAGCAGCTGATGACTCACAGACCAGGGATGAGTTGAGTCCCGGGCACCATGCCCAGGGTAGCGTGGTAGAGTACCACCACCATCTGGGATCAAACCACAACCCACCACTGTCTCCACCACATCAGGGAGCTTCTTTCTATAAGCCTTGATTTATTCCACCTGTAAAAACAGGGTTGATTCTAACAACTAGTATCAGTACAGTGAAGTAATGAAATGGTTTAAAAGAATATGCAAAAAGAAAAATAAGTAAAATAACAGCAAAGCACCAACCAAAGACCCAGGACATAGGAGGAGCTCAGCACATGACAGTTTTCTTTCCAGGTTTCTCCTTCAAAACCCACATGGAACAGCAGCAGCAATAAGGAGAACAGCAGATGCCCATGTGTCATGCTTTATAATTTTCAAAACTACTTCAGATTAACTATTACAGTTAAGGCTCAGAGCAACCTGTTTTAGTCATTTCCATTTTACAAACAAGGGTATTAAAAAGAAGTTAAATACTGGTGCACAGTCCATTCTGCTAATGAGCAGTGCTGAACCTCCGTCTAAGCCCCTTCTTCTTTTAGTCCAAGAGACTTCAAAGAACACCCAATAGTGTGTCCACATTCCCAGAACACAGCACAGGCCCCAGGCTGAAGAGCTCCCCAACATGCAGTGACCAAGTGGTATGCAAGCACAGAGCCCATGACCACGCACAGGATTACACAGGGGCAATGCTTTGTGAGGGGCCCATAGCCTCACCTACTCCCATTGAGGGAAGAACCCAAGCAACAATCAAAGGTCCACCGTCCTCCCAACACCAAGGGCTATGACCAAAGCTATTCCTCAAGACAGCCCCTGTGGTATAGGAGCCCCAAACACAACTACAAAGAGAATGACTACTGGTTACTAGGTACCCATGAGAACTCTTCCTGGCCTCCAGAACCACTAAGGTACCCAGCCTCAGGAGAACCTCATGAGTCCCTTCCTACTGAAGTCGTCAGTGCCTGCTGTAACCAAGGATACCTCATAGAAACTCGCCTAAAACCAAACCCAAAGTCCATGTTCTGTGACTCCTACATGACTGGGCTTCCCATTGGCCTTTCCTCTGCCACTTGAATGTGTCAGGTCTTCCACCCCAAAAACCTGTATTAGCTAACACTGTGCTTGGGAAGCTCTTCCCTGTCTTCCCAGGACTAGCTCTTCTCAAAACACAGGCTTCAGGGAAAATGTCACTTCCTCCAAGAGGATTTCTCCATCAGGCCCCCAGGTCACTCCCCACCCATCTTGGTTCAGCACACCACCAGCCTACTGTGGTTGTTGCAGAATCTCTCGAGTGCCTGCCACCATGGAACAAGAGCTCAGACTGGTCAGCTCTGCTGCTGGTAGCCCGGCACAGAACGGGACCTCTGTGGGCAACGATCTTCCAGGAACAGTGCCAGAGCACCTCAGAGAGGTCCTTTCCTGCCCTCTTGATGAAAAGTTCCCTTACTGAATATTTTGAGGACATAGTCTCAGCGCATAAGGAATCTCTAGGCCTGGAGTAGAGATTTCTAGCCCCAGTCCTCTCTAATACAAGCCAGTCTTCACATGATCAAATATTTTCATTGAAAAGAAGTTTATCAGCACAAGACCTTTGAGAAACTCAAGTGTGTACAGGGGGCGGGGTGGGGCTAAAGGGATAGGGGACTGAACCAACCCTGAAAGCCAATTGTCATTCTTTTTCTGAGCTTCCTAAAATTTTCTACCCTCTGATGACTGGATCAAGAAGATGTGGTACATATACACAATGGAATATTACTCAGCGATCAAAAAGGATAAACACATGCCATTTGCAGCAACATGGATGGAGCTGGAAGGGATCATGCTCAGTGAAATAAGCCAGAAAGAGAAAAAAAAAAATCGATGGTCTCACTCATCGCAGGAATTTAGAAAACTTAAATAAGGGACCAGAAAAAAGACTAATTATAATAAAGAAAAATCAAAATCAACAAGCAACTATAAACCAGAGACACACTAACGGGGAGGGTGGTGGGGAGAGGAGGGATCAACGCCAAAATAAGGGGGGTGGGAATTGTATGGGGAATATAACCAAAATGAAAATGCATACACTGTGCAAAAATGAAAAATGATGTAAGAATTATATAAAATAAAATATTAAAAAAATAGGAAAATAACTAAAATAAGTAAATCCTTTCAAAAGAAGAGATATTTTTTTCTGAAACATTTGAAAGAGATATTTAAGTTGTTTTGTATTTTTTGTTACTTAGTCAAAGAGGCATGTAAACTTCTGCTAAATCACTGGAAAGCATGTATCTCAAACAAAACATGCATGTCCACATCCGCTCAGCTCCCCAGACCCTGCAGGCCCCATACCAGCCAATGCTGCTTGGGAGAAACAGAGGGACACCGCAGAGGGTGGCACACCCCCTCAGGCCGAGGCCATGTCCTCTCAGACCTGAACAGTGGGAACACCCCATGGAGAGGCAACTGTCATACAGACTTACAGTCTCTCAGGGGTGCTCACGAACTGCGATGCAGCTGCGATGCAGTTCTCTCACCAAGGGCAAGTTGCCTGCAATACCCTCCAAGTAGATGCCTTCCTGGAATCCGGACAGTAATCGCCATCGGGCGCACTCAATACCAATTTAGAAACACAATTCTTGCCCTGAGGTACAAATTAGCCCCACAAAGCTGGGAGCTAGAGCAATACAGTGGAGAGCCAGGCTCACTGTTAAGCAGAGCCCTTCAATTTCCTTTGAAGTAAAGATAATTAGAAATGTAACAATTTAATAATGAGGGAGAAAATTGGGAACAGTTCAAATGAAGAGAAAAATGAACTTAATAAGTTGTCCTTCTGAAAGGCTCTACTCCCACTGATGGTCATCTTTGTCTCCTAGTGACACCCACCAGGCCAATGCAAACATCAGGCTGCAGCAGTGGCCCCACATCATATGGGGTCTCACCAGGAAGGTCCAAGTCTCACACACCCTTCAATTTGATGCTTCACAGAAGGCCAGCAGACACCCAAGAACTCAGGCACTTTCGAGTAGCGATTTCAAGGCATCAAGGGGACTCTGGCTTCACGTTCAAATAAAGTAAGCAGAAAACTGGCTTTCCTTTACCCGCATTTTACTTCTCCCCTCACTAAGTGAAGCCCAGCCATGTATATCATGTGTCCTGTGGGGTGGGAACTCTGTGCCAAGTGTCATCTGTGCATGCACTCCCCTCAAACAGAGGGCAGAGGACTTTCACGGCAGGAAAAGGGAGTGATGATGGTGCCACACAAAACGCAGTCCACATGCCTTTCCACAGCCATGGCAGCTCTGGCTCACATGCTACCAAAGAAGGACACTCAGGCCAGCGTACCTAGACCATACCCCCAGCCCGCCAATGACACGTACCATCATTCAGGTATGCCGTCCTCTCCCCACAGGAAGGACTTAGAGCTGTAGAGTTTGAACTCCCACATGCCCAGTTTCAGAAGACTGAAGGGCACAGGCAGATGCCCACATCCTGCTCTTACTTGGATGGTGCCCCAGAAGCTGCCAGAGAATGCAGAGCAACTGTACCACCTTGCCTGCATGACCTCTCAGGTTGACAAACCCACTCTGGTTGAATGAAGTGGGTTAGTCACCAGGTTAGTCACCAGGTTTCAACTTTTCTCTCTTTTTTTTTTAAAAGATTTATTTATTTATGCATGAAAGAGTTAGGTATAGGCCAGAGTCATAGGAGGTAAGAGGATTCACCAGAGACAGAGTGGGGAACAGAACAGGCAGATTGACCGAAGTATACTGCTGAGGGGAGCAGCAGGCAAGTCAGGAGAGGTCTGCTGCGCCATGTAGGTTGCTCCCTGGCTGGCGGGGGATAGAACTCATGTTGCAGAGGCTGTGGACTGCTTTATAGGTTACATCTTAACCCCTTGCGCCACCAGGGAGGCCCAGATTTCAACTTCTCTTAAGGAACACAACGCACAGTGGACTAGGTGACAACACTCAAGAATTTCACATTAGAGGCACTCAGAGACAGAGGACAGGCAGGGCTTTTTTTTTTTTTTTTTTTTTAAAGATTTATTTATTTATTTATACAAGCACTGGGTACAGTCAGAAGAGCGGGAGAGTGATAGAATTCACCAGAGCCAGAGCGGGGAACAGGACAGACAGACCGACAAAATACACTGCTGAGGGGAGCAGCGGGCATGGCAGGAAAGGTCTACACACCATGTGGGACACTCACCCAGTGGCCGGGGATCGAACCGGGGCTGCAGAGGCTGTGGACAACTTTGCAGCCCAGCGTTCAACCGCTGCGCCACCAGGGGAGGCCCAGGGCTATCTTTAAAAGAAAAAGAGATGAGTCTGTCACAGAAAAGCCTGGATGCAGCCATGACGCAAACAACCCCAGCAATTCAGCAGCGCAGTAGGGCCCTCTCAGGCAGGTCACAGTGCCGTGCCCCACAGCCTCACATGCCTTCACTGCCCGGAACAACAGACAGAAGGAACCTACAACCTTACTGACCATACACAGTTCAACCCCATTTTAACACTGAGGACCAAACACTGGTGTCAGGGAGAGTGATGTATAATACATCATCATGTAAATGAGAAACACACCTTTCAATTAAAAGTAATTACTAAACAATACGCTAAAAGCAGACTGCTTATTTTGCAACCATCCCAGGCCAGGTATGTTCACCGTCCATTTGGGCAGCTTAGAGCCCGTGGCATCATCCCCACAGGTTACTTTAAGAATACACAAGGAGTGAGCAGACCTCTCCTGTCTCGCCCGCTGCTCCCCTCAGCAGTGTATTTCATCAGTCTGCCTGTTCTGTTCCTCGCTGTCTCTGGTGAGTCCTCTCACCCTCCCGCACATCTGGCCTGTACCCTAGTACTTGTATAAATAAATAAATCTTTAAAAAAATTAAAAAAAAAAAAAAGAATACACAG